AAAAAAGCCTGAAGGCAAAAAAAAAAAAACACCTTTTCTTCCTTCAAGAACATGCTGTGGGATGTTGTAATCAGCAAGAATCATTGAAAATGTGAATTTCTACTATTTTCCAAGCTTGGTTCTAGATCCTACAAAATATACTACTTAATTTAACCTCATAATTACCCTAAATGAGCTATTTTAAAAAATGACCTTATTTTACCAGTGGGGAAATCAGGCTCCAGTGAGGTGAAGTGCCAGACACGATAGAAAAGGCAGACTTAATTGCAGGTAACCCACTTCACACCTGGAACTTAGTCATTAGAAAATGGTTCGCTCAAAGAGGTGTGGTAGTAGGCAAGACCATACTTTCAGGTGGAAAGAGGGCTGGGAGATAGCTCAACTGGGAAAGTGTTTGCTTTGCAAGCAGGAAGACTTGAGTTCAATTCCCAGAACCTATATAAAAGAGCAGAGAGTAGTGGCCTGTGCTTGTAACCCCAGTGCTGGGAAGGCAGAGTCAGGTAGACCTCTAAGGCTTGCTGGTGGGCCAGCCTAGTCTACATGGTAAGTTTCAGGCCAGTGAGAGACCTTGTCTGAAAAGAAAAGGTGGATAGTACCTGAGGAATGACAGGTGAGGTTGTCCTGTGGTCTCCACACATATACACACACCCACATACAGGAATTTCAGTAACTGTCTAATGCATCAAGTTGTCCCCAGGCCGATTCTGAGACCAGACAGATGAATGCAGGCATAGCCAACAGTCAATGGATGCCATTGGTTAGCATCCTCGGGGTGGCGAGCAGGGGCACATACCTGTCAGCCTGGGTGGAAAGGCAGAGCACCACCTTGGCAGCACTGCTCCCACTGAGACTGCCTCCCCGGAAGTCTGAGGCCCGGCCTCGGCTGCATTCTCTAACAAGCTCTGGGATAGAGCGGGCTTGGACCACGGGTGCTGTGCTCAGGGAGGGGCCCTGTTCCAGGGTCTGCTCCTGGTTTGCATCCTCATATTCAAGATTCCCAAGGAGTCCAGAACTCCCAGATGTCTTCTGTGGCTGACGGATGGTCAGAGGGGGCTGGGAGGTGCCATCACTGAAGTGAGTGTGCTCCAATGTGCCTACATACTCACACACCCTAGAAAGAGCCACAGATGGTGGGTGAACAGTGTAGCCCAGCTTGCCAGCTCCATCCATCTCATAGTGAGACACAAAGGAAGAAAGCATAGAAGATAATCATCGAAAACATGGGCTAGGCAAAGATCAGCCCAATTTCCCTCGTTCCTCTTGTACTCAACCCTTCCTTTCCCCTTCTATTTCTCTCTCTCTCTCTCTCTCTCTCTCTCTCTCTCTCTCTCACACACACACACACACGCACACACAGATACGTACACTTTGAGTTGGACCATACAGTCTTTACACAGGTAAGGAGTTTTTCATTCTTTCACCCATCACTCTTTGCTGGGAAAAAGCTGTGCAATGGAGCCCTGTTCACCTACTTCCGTGTTGCACAGCTTACTAATTTATCTGGATTCTGCTGTTTGAGATAATTTTCCCCAAGGAATCCCTTTCCCCAATACTGCTCTGATTAAGAGTTGAGAAACACATTCTTACTATGAGGTTCGCACAATGAACACCCCTACAGTGGATAAGTACTCTTGACACAATGGGGTTCTACCCAGCTACTCCCTGCCTGGTGCTGATAGCTCCATGTAACTCATGTCCAGGTGAAGTCTGGGGTTAGTGGTGTCCCCTAGCATGGCAGACACATGTGGACAAGTCACAATGTGGACAACTGCCAACTTCTAAAGTACCTGTTTCTAAATTGAATTTGGGACTAAGATGCTTCATCTTCAACCTGTAATTCAATTGCTGGCAAAGGGCATCCTGGATAAACCACTCTGGTATTCTATAATCAGGGTATTTTTTTGATCAGATGCATATTGCTTGGACACCACGTGACGTTCTCCCTTTTTTCTTTGTAAGAGCAGTGCTGACCATCTGGTCACTAGCCTCCACATCATAAACCATTTCGTTCCAGGCTGATTCATCCTGGTCCTTTCATGTGTTTTTCTCAAGTTGGTTTTTCTACCTTTGGATAGTCTGCATGCTTTTCTCTTAGTAACTCAACCAGCACTCATGTATTGGCTTTGGTGACGGTAAACTGAACCCAACCCTGACTGGTACTCTGGGCTGTTATCCCACTGCTCCCATACCATGGCTAATCTGCCTGCAGGGTGCTTGGCGAGAGGCCCCTGGCACTGATGCAGGAAAGGTTGAGGCATAGCTGGCACCAAGCCCTAGGCCTCCTTCTGGACAGGGGTCCTTCCCCTATGCTGGGAGACATGCTTCTTATCTTAGACATTAGATTTGGACCCCGGAGCCATTGCTTTGTTATAAATAAGTCCTATGCTAGGTGATGGACTCGGAGACTTTTTTCACTTTAGTGCTACAAAGCTTAGAGCAAGTTTTGACTGGTCTTTTGAACAGATGTACTACTGTGTTTTAATTTTTTCTTTGTCTAGTTAAAATAGACATCTTTAAGGAAGTACTTTACATAATCATGTATGTTATCCAAAATCCTTCTTTAAATAAAGGGGACATTGATAAGCACACAGCAATGTTATATTACTGACACACAAGTACTTTGTAGACTTGTATTCATTTAACTTGCCTTCCATCCACCACTTAAGGAACTGCATTTTCTTCCTTGGTCTAACACATCTGTCTCTCATGGCAATGTTAACAGGTAAATCACAATTCCCTAAACCCAGTTCTGCCATTCTGTTCTCCAAAACACACATTCAGTGGGGCCCTTATCCCTTTTCCTTTTTGTCTCTCCTTGGAACGTATCCAAACTGAATGGTCATAATCTATTGAAGTGCTGGCAGACCCTGGCATCTGCCCTCTCCAATACCCGTAGGCTTCCCAAGGCAGGGTTGGTACCATCTGGGGTGGGGATCCCATCATGCACCTGAACACATGTGGCCAGCAGTCCGGGTTGTGGCTTCCCATCTCCAGGCCTACGCTGAGGATGGCATCCATGCATAAGACGTGGGCTGTGTGCAGCCACACCCCCTGCACCTTCCCCATCTGCTCCAGTTTCTGCTCCACTTTTAGTTTCACTGTGCCAGAAAGACATTTATTAAAATAACAGTCTGAGTAAGGGAGACAGACAGGGAGAGAGACAGGAGGACAATGAAAGAGCGTTGTCATGCAAAGGCAAAGGAAGGAATGACACACTTCATTATCTGCAAGCACGTCTTCCGCAGGTCCACATGGTTCATCATGCAAACTGCCTGGAGAACAGGCTCCCACACACTGGGAACCACAGCTCTGTGGCTCTGAAGTCAGATGGATTTTGTGCTGGTAGATGCAGTTTGTCCCAGCCCACCCATGGGGCTGAGTGAGACACAGTAATGTAAGTGGGCTTCATGTACTAACTCCAGCTAAACCATCTGTTCCCAGACCCTTCACCCTCCCCCGTGCATTCACATTTGTAGTATTAAGGAATTCTTGGCAGTCTGCAAGTCTCTCTGAGATTGTTTAATATTATGCTTTTATTATGATGATCATGTCTAAAACTATGTGTATAGATGCTGAGAACCAGGATGACTTCTCAACTAAAAATGATCATGCCAGCCAGGCACGGTGGTGCACGCCTATAATCCCAGGCAGAGGCAGGCGGATCTCTGTGAGTTCAAGGCCAGCCTGGTCTACATAGTGAGTTCCAGGACAGCTGGGGCTACAGGGAGACCCTGTCTCAAAAAGATTAAAAAAAAATCATGTCATCGCACTCTCTAAGCCCACATGTGCACCTGTGAACTATAAATAATGCTTTTCTGAAATAAAATAATTTTTAGTATAGATGACTGAAGGACACAAAAGTTGACTTATCATGTCAGTTATGTGAAATGCCAAGGCAAGTGCCACTGCCAAATGGCAGTGTCCTCCTTGAATAAGTTTCATGTCACGGGATCTGGTGGGGTGAACCAAGTGATGGTCCAAAACTAAGAAGTTAGCAAACTAACTTCAAGGAACTCTGAGTCATTTTCATAAGGAGGAAGTGATTTTTAGCAAAACATCATTTGCCTCATGAGTATGATTTTATTTTGCATTTGTTTATAATTAGAACATTTTGGCTTTGTGAGTGTGTGTGTGTGTGTGTGTGTGTGTGTGTGTGATTTATGTGTTTTAAGAACTGTGAATGTAAGAATATTTTAAACTTTATTTGTGTGCGTATGCATGTGTCTATATGAGTGTGTATACACATATGTGAGTGGGTGCATGTGTCTGTGCATGTACAGAGGCCAGAATAGGGTATAGATGCTTCAGAGTTGGCCCGTCAAAGGTCTTTGCAGTATTCCTGGCTTGTTATGTGTGGGTGCTGAGATCTGAATTCCAGTCCTCATGATTGAACAGCAAAGCACTGTTAAACCACTGAGTCATCTGTACAGCACCTAAAATTTTGTTTTTAGATTGGGTCCTCCTATTTGGCCCAGACTGGCCTTAAATTTGTGATCCTCTTGCCTCAATCGCCTGAGTTCTGGAATTACAGATATGCTCCACCACATGTAGCTAAATGTAATCTTTGTGTAGCTCACAGATACACAGAACTTAAACGTGTGATCCTTTTTTCCCCTCCCAATTAACACTAAAGATCTATAAGGACTACTTTGATTTCTAATTAATTTCTAAATATTGCTCAAGTTTGTGGAACAGTGACATGGATTGCTTGTTTCAGCTAAAAATATAGTTATTTCTGTGACTAGCTCTCTTACACATCTGATCGATAGTATCAGCATAACTTGAACCATGATTACACTTCTCTTTTGGCCTACTGCCTGCCTTGTATCTTCCATCACTTCTAGGAAAGACATTTTACTTCCTTGTATCTAGAAGATCATTGATTTTATTGACTAACTGGTTTTAGCAAGTTAAAAATCAACCCCTTTCCTGTGTCCACAAAGCTCGTGTTTTTGCCCCAAGAGTGAGATCTCTCTGAGTCCCCTTTCATGGAATCTGTTTGATTTTCACCCTCAGAACATTGGCCAATTTGCTAGTGTAACTATAACCCAAGGACCCTCCAAATGTGCACCAGTGACTGGATAATGACCCAGGTGTGAAGGGCTCAGCCAGGTGCACTCCTGGCACTCTTGCTAGCAGCTAACTGTCCTTTCCTTGTCACTAATGGCCAGTATGACACCCCTGTTGAGAAGGACACACTGTCAGTACCATATAGGTCCCTCACCTAAAACAGACCCAAGCCTGTGGCTCAGTAGGACTCATGAACTAGTGGCATTCAACTACTGTGCATCACACATAGAATGGGAGTCAGTTTCCACTGATATGTACAGGCATGTGCAGGTTTGTGCACACCATGACCTAGGAACCAGGTGGATTCCGGCCCTTCCACCGTTACCTTGTGCTATGGCATCACTGGGTTCCTGGATTTCCCTTTCTTCTTTCTCTTCCTGGACACAGGAAGCAGCTGCCATCTGGGCAAGAGCTGAGGCGCAGTTAGCAGCAACTCCTTTAGAGGAAACAAACAGCTACCCCTTAACTGAGTATGTTCTCCAGGTAGATACCAGCAGAACCCCTTCTAAATGGCATCTTTCTTGGAACCTCCCTTCAGGCCAAAGGTCAGTGAACACTACCCCACCAGTACCTAGTGCACAGCTCAGCCTCGCAGCTTTTCGCAGCCCATCGAGGCTCATGCAGATGGCATCACGCTCCTTCTGATTCTGCTGTTTGATGCCCTCAGCTCCCAGGATGAAGGCCAGCCCCTTGGAGCTCCCTGCCATTCGACCAGTCAAGGGGGTTGATAGAGTATCAATCAAGTTTTTCCAGCAGCCAACAAGAATGTAGCGAGCAAATGCCACACCTGGGAGGGAAAGGGGTGAGGATCACTTTCTAGCAACAAACAGAATGGCAAAGAAGGGCCTGGGGGGTTCTTGGGTCATTAAATAAGCAACTCTGAATTGCATATAATTCTATGATAGGAAGCACAACTTAATAGATTGTGGTGGGTTTTTTCACACAGTGCATATAAATAACGAATGTTGCATTAGCCTCTGAGCTGGGTAACTTTCATTATCTTTCTGAAAATAAAATCACAATTCATATAAGCCACCATATAACAGTTTGATTGCTGGTAACACATGCAGTATATACAGTTTTATAAATTCAAGGTTGAAGACCTTACCTGCCACCGTGGAATCATCAATTCTCCTGCTCTGGGTGAAAGGAGACTCCATCGAAGCTGATGCCATCAACTGGCCACCAATTGCACTGCTCTCTAAGCCATCAATATCTGTCAGTCAAAGTAACAAAATCCTTAAGTTCTCCCTTTTGATAGTCCAATCAAAAACAAACAAATGACCACAAAAATATTCATGTTTTTCAACAAAAATCCATATTATGTATTAACTATACATTCACTATTATAAGAATATTATAAATTCTGTTTTATTCTATCAGCCCATTTTTCTTTCATTGTCAAAGCATTTTTCTATTATGCTGTTATATGGTTAATATTTGAAAAAAAGACTAATTTCTCTTTGTTTGTTTGTTTGTTTGTTTGCTTTAGGTCTTTTTGAGACAAAGTCTCCTTGTAGCTCCAGCCGGCCTAGAACTCACTATGAAGAGCTCACAGAGATCTACGTGCCTCTGCCTCCCTAGTGCTGAGATCAAAAGTGTGCACCACCATGCCTGGCTTAATAAGACTAAATTTTGCTATTGCTATTGTTAGACTATCTATTTACTCAAAATGTTTTAGTCTTTGGATGTTTTTCTTTGTTTAAAATCATGGCATTATCTCCAAATTTTAAATGCACATAATAGTCTAGCATGGATTTAAAAAATTATTTATTTAATAACCACATAATTAGAAGAAGAATTTCATTACAACAGCATTGACATAATAACAATTTCCAGAGCAAAGATGCATCTCTTTCAAAATCGGCTGTAAATTTTTAGGTTTACAGTTGAATTAATACAGTTATACAATATTGTACTCAGTATAAACCCTCTAAGACATAAAATTAATGAGGTTTTAACCTTTAAAAAAGATCTCCATTTTATTTTAAAACACACTGTTTTATACAGAAAAAATCATTTTTAATAGCATGGATTTTTTTTTAAAGTTAGGGTCTCACTGTAAAGAACAGACTGGTTTCAAATCTGTTATCTTCCTGCCTTTGCCTCTGAGTTCTAGGATTACATGAATGTACTACCACATCCAGGTTAGCCTGTATTTTTCTTCCAGAACCTCTTCATCAGCATTCAGAGGAGAATCAACCACTTTGGTCAGATAATTTATTCTAATTCCAAATACAATGGTAATATATTGATGATATTCTTTATAATTTCCGCCTATTCTCACTTAATATCTTTCCATTTGATTGTCCCAAATTACTCAAAATAGGTAGGCAGATCTATTATTTTTCCCATTTTAAAGGGAAGAAAACAAGTATTTAAAGCAAGTAAATTTATCACTTCTGGGTGTTTTGGCTAAGATCAAGTGAAAAGTGGGTCAGTTGCCTAAGTTCATGAAGTTGGTAAAAGATGGAAGCAGTATTCATAGTTTCTGATATCTGTCCAGGCCTCTCTCCATGATATGATGCCCCAATTCAATATGGGTTTCTAAACTAGCTCATTTATGTTTTTTTAGGAATAAAGTACCATTTACAGAAATAGCTCAATAGATCCCTTAATATATTGACAGGAAGGGACTGGTCTAGAGTTAGAAAGCCTGGGTTCCAGTCTAGCTCAGAGGGGGACTTTTAGGCCTGGGCCAGGTACCCCATTCTCTGGGCATAAATTTCCTCAGTATGAAGGAGGTGATTGTGGAGGACTGAAGCAACTGATGTAGTCAAGCGAAACCCAGGGAGGGTATGGGAAATGGAGATAGTATACATTTATTCTGAGTTTGGAACTTCACCCTTGCTCAAGTACTATGAGACTTTGATGCACAGAGTTTAAAATTTGCTTCAGTGTATCTCTGATTCTTAGACTATTTCATGAAGCCTTCTGGGCAATACATCAGAAGACCAGAAAAGGTAGGAACCTTTATGACTGCTACTGTGGGAACAGGCCAGTTTTCTGAAATCAATTTGGCTTTTAGTCAAATGGCCTAATGACATTTACCAGAAATGATCATTTTATCCAGGTTATATACTGTTTTCTATATATTGGGTACAAGACTGATTAACTCAAGCAGTGCAAACTTTATTTAAGCATAGGGTTCTGTCATTCTGTAGAAGGCTTCTCATGGCACCAGGAATGGCCAGTTAGACTGCTGCTTCTGGAAAGAAGGTGACGTAGCTTCCAAACCCCCAGTTAACTACTGCTCATAATCACTTGCAGCCTCACATCTGGAATTTGCTCTAAAGTTTCACAGAATCTTATTTTTCTTAAATTCCTTTGAAAAGACTATTTTCCTATTGTCAACCTAGAGTTAAATGACTGTCCTATGGATAAAGAGATCAGGCTTACTCTTCCATTATGAAGGATATATGGCCACTGTGAAGGCTCTGTCAGTCCCTTTACAGCTGCCAAATGACTCCTTTTATTCAGCTTTGGGTAAGAGAATCATAGTGATTAAATTTGGCAGAAATTATGACGCTTAAAAATTGGGCTGGAGAGATGGCTCAGCGGTTAAGAACACTGGTTGTTCTTGCAGAAGACCCGGGTTCGAATCCCAGCACCCACATGGCAGCTAACAACTGTCCGTAACTTCAGTTTCAGAGGATCAGATGGCCTCTTCTGTCCTCGCAGGCATTGCACGACACGGGTGCACTTACCTACAGGCAGGCAATACACTCATATACATAAAAATAATAAAATATTTTAAAAAATTAAAGAATTAAAGCTGGTGTGTTTAAGATCCTCAGTTGAGTTCCGTGGTACTTACATGCTAGGCAGTACTTTCTGTCCTACTGAAGGGAGTTTGAGGAAGCAGATGGAAATCGAACATTGCTTATAGCAAACTGAATGCCCCTTGCATATACGATGTTACTTATGTATATGTTTTACATGTTCATGTGTGTACACGTGTGTGTGGGTAGGCACGTACATGTGGAGGCCATAGGTCAATATGAGGTATCTTCATCAATTTCTCTCCACCTTATTTTTTGAGGCAGGGTCTCCCACTGAACCCAGAGCTCTCTGATTCTGCTAGACTGGCTGGCCTGCAAACCCCAGGGATGTTTCTATCTGTCTCCGAAGTGCTGGGATTCCAGGTGCCTGCCATGATGCCTGGCTTTTATGTGAGTGCTAGCGATCAACCTTGAGTGCTCATGAACTGAATGAGCCTTCTCCTCAGCCCCTGTGAATGATTATTGTTCAAATGGTATGTTACCTTGATTAACAAACTACAAGCTGGTCACTTGTTTGCTTTCCCCAACTACATCCTGATTCTAGATGCAAGATTCCAAGTTCAAGAAAAATTCAAGGACCCCACCTCTGTGGACAGACCTCATGGCTATATCTCAGCTTTCTACCTGGTTCCTAAACAGCACCTTACACCCAGATTCCTGATTGTTGGGCTGAACCTGCTGGTAGACTACTCTATCACCTTTATAAGTGCCTCAGTACCAACCACAGGCAACACGACACACCCATTGGCCAATATGTCCAGCCTCCCACCTAGACTGTTCTGTTTTTTCTCATTCTATGGGAATGATTTCTCTGGGAATGCCATTATTTATTATTTTAATCAAAATTAACCTCATGTTTTAAGCATTTACTACTACCTGTTTAATCTGCCTTCCTATTGTGTAGTCAGCTTATTTCACTTTTGCTAGCCTTTAGAAAAACAGTAGTTTTTATAAGCTAAACAAAACACATAACTTTCATCTTAAACTATATTTCCTATTTCTTCTTCTTGACCCTTCCTTATCTTTGGCTTACAAATTCTTCACAGCATATGTTGCAAACAACATGTCGGCTTAGGTTGATAAGATTTGCTCATGGTTTTTTATGTTGTTCTGGGTCAGTAGGGATCAGAAAAGGAAAATTCTTTCCTTAATAAGACAGAATTCCTCATTCCTTTCCCATACCATGCTTGAGTTTGTGGTTCAATAAATAGAGCACATCCTTTGTTCAAGGAACAGTTAAAAGACAATGAGAAAGGAACAGTTAGGAGAACAGACCAGGCTCACTTTTGGTTTAAGTGACTCTGGTTTACGTTTAGTCTTTCTTGAATCAGGCACTGATGCACTGTTGCATCCACCACGATACCCTGCTCCTACACGGTAAACAGCTATTGAACTTTGTGAGGCATAGTACAGGACTAAGGGGGCATCCAGCGGAGGGCCATGCCCCACTGTCCCATGAGCTAGAGCCACAAGAGGACAGTTCAGATCAGAAGCCAATCTGAGAGCTCAGAACAAATACAAATAAACTTGAAGATCTAAATTATTAAGGCTTCTGATAAAGTTTTGAACATTTCCTGATCTTCAATTAACATTTTGGGTTAAGTCATGACAAAACCAGAAAGTCTACTATTGCCAAAAAGCATCTCTCCCTCCCCCAATTACTACACAAAATTACACACTGTTCTCTAAATTTTCATGTGAAATGTCTAGTAGTTAAAGAGAATATTAAAACTTTTAACACTGAAGACAAGGATGCTGGGAAAGCTAGTATTTGGCATGATTTTAAATGATTTAAATGATTTTAAATTCTGGTACAGCTGGGGAGGGAAGGCAGAAGCTATGATATGGACGGGAAATAGGAATGAAGGCAAGTATAAAATCAATCACATTACTGGCCAAACCCCAGGATTGAATGATGCAGGGCCTCTATTAGCATGTGAGAGCTTCCAGGAATAATTCTGGGCTTGTGCCCAGAAAGTACTACAAGTCCACAGATGGGCCTATAGCTTTACACCAACAGATGAAGGTGCCAAGTTAGCCCTGACTAATGCTCACAGTGAGCCTAACAGCCTGCCCAGGGCAAAAGGAGAGCAAATGTTTACGAGATGCTTCATGACTAGGATCTGGAACTGCCACTCAAAGCCTGCTCAAACACCCCAACTTCTCTAAGAGAGGCTCTGGCGCATCAGCTTCCTATCCTATTGATCACCCCATCACCTTGGCTGGGGCCACTGACCAGTGAGCATGGTGACGAGGGGAAGGCTGTTGTCCTCCGGGCTGCCCCAGTAGCCAGCTTCTCCCAGTATGTTTCTGTCGAGCACCTGGTGATACAGCTCCTCTATCCAGGCCTGGGAGAAGACCATCAGCACACCGCTGGTCTGCACCTGCTTCATGAAGTCCTTCTGCAAAGAGGCCACAGAAGAAGGGGCACACACACTCCCCTGTGAATGAACAGGCTCCCAAACTGCTCCCCCTCCTTACTGAACTAACGTTTCTTATCAGGAGTGGAGGTGGCAAGAGGGGAGATACTGAGATGCAGTCACTCAAGCTTCATGGTTTTTTCACTTATGGCATCTTCTAACATAGCCTGCAGAAGGACCAGGATGCTGCCTTTTCTATTTTCTTGGTTGGTGGGAGGGTAGCTACCTGCCAGAGCTTTCTCTTCCCACTGCCCAAACAACAGCAGAAATAGAATGGGCTCCAGAAGGAACATATGTATCCTGAGACTTGGCTTACATGCTTTTAAAATCACCACTTACCCTGGGCACTTATATTTTACTAAAGAAACAAGTGAGTGTTGATTCCCTTCAGAAGATCCATGAGTTAGACTCAGAAACTGACATCTGGGAACACTATGACATGGCTTGCTCAGTCAAGTGAGCCAACCACAGCAGAGTCAACATCATCTTTGCTGAACACCTTAGAAGAGGCACTTTATTAAGACCATCAGCAAGTGCAAACTGCACATGTGTGCACTCTCCCTCCAGATCTGCACAGGCATGAGCACGGGGGGGTACAGACCACACCAGGAAGTTTCTCCCAAGACTCTGATGCTGGGCTGTATAAGGGAGACTAGAGATCACAGTGGGAGGGGCCGATGCCAGAGCGCATGCTCACCATTATGCCTGGTGCCAGGGTGGGCCGCTTCCGGTAGTAATCGCCATGAGAGAGCTTCAGATTGAGTAGTAGGGCACAGTGTGCGGCAGTGTACAGGCTGTCCGCGTTCATCAGCATCTGGAAGCTCAAGCTGCTGCCTCCGTCGAAGCCAGGAGAGTGCATCATGCCTATCAGAGGGAATCAGGACACCTGTGGGCCTACCGACAGTGTGCTGGGTCCAGCACCTGGAAAGCCTGGACGAGATCCCAGCAACAGAAATTGTAACCCGTGGAATACTTCTGTATAGCGCTGACCATCAGTCAGGTTTCTTATAGGGCAGATGCAGCCACAGTGCACCACGAAGGGCATGAACTCTGGAACAGATCAGCTGCACCTTGATCTTGAGCTTTTAGCAGTGATAACTTGGGTAAAATCCTTTAAGCCCTCTATCACTTTCTTATGCCTCAAACAGGGACAATAATTGCACTCAACTCCTTGCTCAAACTTTCTGCAACATAGTTTAAAAAACCCAACCTCATCTTCCTGGCTCACTCCTACACCCGATTTGCTATGTCTTCACCATTCCCATCTAGACCTGTGCATTATCTTTGCCACTCTCTAGAGACCTCCCTCGACTTCTCAAAACTTGTTCTTTTGATTATTTCAGGTGTCAAGCCAGCTTCTCAGAGACCTTCTCTTTCAATGCCATTTCAATAGCTTCCTTCCAACCTCAGGACTCTGCTTCCCCTTCCTGCTCTTCTTATTGCTTTAACGCCATTTATTTCACCTAACACTGTGTTAATACAGTATCTGTCTGTCTGTTCCCCACACTCGTGTGTGTGTGTGTGTGTCTTTGATTTTGAGACAGGTCTCACTATGTCACTCAGGCCGGCCTCATATAGATCCTCTGTCTCCGGATACTAGGTGCTGGGATTATGGGCATGTGCCACTGTGTCAAGCCACATGTTTTTTTTACTGTCTGCTTTTCACTGCAATGTAAGATGTGAGAGTGGTTGTGACTGTTAGTTTTGTTCACTAGAGAATCTCCAGTAGAATAGTGGCTGCCATATGGCAGATTCTTAAAAGTCACTTGATGAACGAATGAGAATGAATGTACAAGGTTACTATGAGAATTAACTGCAATCATGCATGTAAGCCACGTGGGGCAGTACTTAACTCAAAAAAAAAAAAAAAAAAAAAAAAAAAAAAAAAGAGGTGTGGGAGACCTTAGCAGACTGCCTGAGAGCCTGGATCTGGCCTCTGCATGGTACACCCACTAGTAGGGGTCCAGGCAATAGAAGGAAGCCAGAGTGTACCTGACTGTAGGCTGACTTGGGTCTCTGTGGGAGCTGCTGAGTAGGTGATCTGACACCATCAATTCCCTCCAAAATAAGATCTGAGAGAACCTGAAACCTAGACCAACCAGCTTTATATACCCAATAAGAAAACAATCAAGGCACACCAATAGTATAAACAGAAGCAAACTTCAACTCAATGAAAGAAGGCTTGAGTTTTATACCAGATTCACAAACAACAAAAGAAATCCACATGCCAAAATCACAACAGCAAAATAATAATATGTAAAATCCAAAGAGCATGTTTTCAGCAAACTCTACCAGTCCTGTAGAAGAGTTCTATAAGGAGAACTCCCTAGAGATAATCCTGGACACTGAATTTAATAGAACAATCATAAACATGATCAAGGAAGTCAATGAATTTAAGAACACACGAGCAAACAAATCAAAGAACTAAAAGAAGATAGGGATAAACTTCTGAATGAATTCACAAAAGAGATAGAAACATTGAAGAAAACTCAGGCAGAAATGAAGAAGGAAGTGCAAAACTCAATAAGCCAACTTAAAACAATAGGGGAAAGCCTCACCGCTAGAATGAATGAAATGGAAAACAGAATATCAACATTGGAGGATAAAGCTGAAGAACTGGACTGCTCAAGCAAAGATCATGAAAAGTTTAAAAGACACAAGAATGGAATATGCTGGAAATGTGGGACACCATGAAAAGACCAAATTTACGTATCATAGGCATAGAGGAAGGAGAAGGATTTCAGGTTAATGGTACTGATCAGATCTTAAACAAAATTGTAGGAGAGAATTTCCCCAAATTAAAGAAAGACATCCCCATACAAATACAAAAAGCACATAGAACACCAAGTAGACAGGACTAGAAAAGAAATTCCCCATGGCATATCATAGTAAAAACACTAAATGTACAGAACAAAGAGAGAATGCTGAAAGCTGCAAAAGAAAAACAACAAGTCACATATAAAGGAAAATCTATCAGAATTACAGCTGACTTATCGATGCAAACCATGAAAGCCAGAAGAGCCTGGACCAAAGTATTTCCAGTTTTAAATGACCACAGATGCCAGCCCTGGATACTTTTCCCGGCAAAAATGTCTATTATAGTTGAAGGAGAAAGAAAAATCTTCCACATGAAATAGGCTGAAATAATTCATGTCCAGAAAACTGGCCCTTCAAAGAATACTTGAAGCAATACAAAGAATGGAGAAAGGAACAACTATACCCCAGGGGCAACAGAAAGAAACTAAATGAAGGTATAATTGTAGAAAAACAAAATTAGACAAAGAATGCAAACAGTAATCAAATGAACTGAACTCTCCAGTCAAAAGACACAGGCTAGTTGATTGGATTAAGAGACAAAATCCATCTTTTTGTTGCCTGCAAGAAACCCACCTCACCTTCAAGGACAGACACTACCTTAAGGTGAAAGGATGGAAAAGAATATTTTAAGCAAATGGCACTAAGAAACAAGCAGGTGTTGCAATTCTAATATTTGACAAAATAAGACTTCAAACTAAAAGTAATCAGAAGAGATAAAGAGAGTCACTTCATTTTGATCAAAGGAACAGTTAATCAAGAAGATATTACAATCCTGAACATATATTCACCAAACTCTGGTGCCCCCAAATTCATGAAAACAATACTACAAGACTTTAAGACACAGGTTAACTCCCAACTCAGTAAAAGCAGGGGACTTCAATACCCGACTGTCTCCATTAGACAAGTTAACTGAACAAAGAATAAACAGACACCTGAATTAAATGACACCATACAGCAAATGGACATAACAGACATCTTCTGAATATTCCACCCAAGCACCAAAAAATACACTTTCTATTCAGCACCCCACAGAACTTTCTCAAAAATAGACCACATACTAGGGCACAAAACAAATCTCAACAAATACAAAAAAACTGGAATAATTCCATGCATTGTATCTGACCACAATGTAATAAAGCTCAAAATCAATTCCGGAAGAAGCCCTAGTTAACTACACGAACTCATGGAGATTAGACAACACACTCCTGAATGATGAGTGGGTGAAAGGAGAAATTAAGAAAGAAATAAAAGTATTCCTGGAATTCAATGAAAGGACAATACAACACAACAAAACTTCTGGGACACTTTAAAAGCAGTCCTAAGAGGGAAGTTTATAACTCTAAGTGCCTTCATTAAAAATCAGAAGGAGCACAAATAAATGACTTAACATTTCAACCCAAGACACTGGAAAGGCAAGAACAAATGAAACCTAAACCCAGCAGAGGAGAAGAAATAACAAAAATCAGAGCAGAAATTAATGAAATAGAACAAAGAAAAAAACACAAAGAATCAATGAATCTAAGAGCTGGTTCTTAGAAAAAAGATAAACAAGATACACAGATCCTTAGCCCAGTTAACTTTTCAAAAGAAAGAAAGAGCAAATCCAAATCAACAAAATCAGAGATGAAAGGAGAAACATCACAACAGACACCAAAAAGATCCAGAACATTATAAGGGAGTACTTTAAAAACCTACATGCTACTAAATTTGTAAACCTAAAAGAAATGGACGGGTGTCTAAAATCATGGGAACCACCAAAGTTAAACCAAGAAGAGATCAACAGTTGAAACAGATCCATAACATATAAGGAAATCGAAACAGTAATACAAAGCCTCTGCACTAAGAAAAGCTCAGGGCCAGATGGATTTACAGCAGAATTCTACCAGACATTTAAAGAAGATGAGCAACCAATACTACTCAAATTATTCAGAAAGATAGAAACAGCAGGAGAACTCCCAAATTCCTTCTATGAAGCCAGCATCATGCTAATACCAAAACCAGGTAAAGACACAACCAAAAAAGAAAACCAAAGACCCATATCCTTAATGAACATAGATGCAAAAATTCTCAACCAAGTACTTGCAAACCGCATACAGACACACATCAAAAAGATCATTCACCATGATCAAGTGGGCTTTACTCCAGAGATGCAGGGATGGTTCAATATATGCAAGTCCATAAATGTCATAAATCACATAAATGGGCTCAAAGACAAAAACCACATTGTCATCTCAATAGATGCAGAAAAGGCTTTTGACAAAATTCAACATGCATTCATGATAAAAGTTCTAAAGGAAATTGGACTGGAGGGAACATACCTCAACATAATTAAAGCTATATACAACAAACGCACAGCCAACATCATTCTAAATGGAAAAAAAAAAAAAAACCCTAAAACTGGAAGCATTCCCATCAAAATCTGGAACCAGACAGGGCTGTCTACTATCTCCAGTCCTTTTCAATATAGTGCTTGAAACTCTTGCTAGAGCAATAAGACAAGAGAAGGAAATTAAAGGAGCACCAATTGGAAAAGAAGCAGTCAAATTATCCCTTTTTGCAGATGATATGGTATTATACCTAAGAGATCCCCAAAATTCCACCAGAAAACTAGAACTGATCAACACTTTCAGTAAAGTGGCAGGTTACAAAATTAATTTTCAAAAACCTGTAGCCTTTCTATATACCAATAACAAGCAATCAGACAAAGAGTACAGGGAAATCCTCCCATTCACAGTAGCCTCAAAAACATATCTTGGAATAAACCTGACCAAAGACATCAAAGATCTTTACAACAAGAATTTTAAAATCTTTAAAGAAAGATTGAGGAAGACACCAGAAAATGGAAGGACCACCCAAGCTACGGACTGGAAGAACCAATATTGTGAAAATGACCATCCAACCAAAAGAAATATACAGATTCAATGCAATCCCAGTCAAAAATCCCCATGACATATTTCACAAAATTAGAAAACGCCATTGTTAAATTCATATGGAAGCACAAAAGATCCCAGATAGCCAAAGCAACCCTGAGCACAAAGAGGAATGTT